TCTCTCTCTCTCTCTCTCTCTCTCTCTCCCCCCACAGCCCACTCACAAAAGCAGAGGAGATCATGGGACTCAGTAGTTTGTGGTACTTAACAGGTAACACTGGCTTATTTGAAAGATATAAAAAACAATGCAAGGACTCTGAAAGGCAGTACCTGAAATGTTGGGGAAAAATCCCTTCATCACACTGTCTCTTGTGGCCTATAAACATTTTAATTTATAGATTTACATTTGGCATAAGCAGTTAAAATTAGGCAAACTGGTGCTGGTAATGAATATACAACTTATTTAAGGATGTTTTGTTAAACATTTTGTTTAAGTGCTCCTATGAGGAAAGCGGGGAAATAGCTGTCCTTTCTTCGAACTGGATGAAATCAATGTTAATTTTCCAACTATTGATATTCCCCATATCTTGTGTTCAAACATTGATAGCTTTTGCCTCATTGTCAATATCATACTTATAAAATGGAAGTTCTGAGTTCATTTTGTTGTATAAAAGCAAATGGAAATGAGACTACAGATCAAGAATTTCCCCGTTAAGTGATCTGGGTCTTGCTTCATTTAAGTCTTGGACCAAGACCAAAATATTACTGCTGACTTGAAGGATCAGTCACTTTTGAAAGGTTCAATATCTTGGCCAATGAAGCTAAGTAAAGAAAATAATAGATTTAAAAGAGTGGAATATTTTCTTCAATTATCTTTTTCTAAGTCTTATGTTTTCTCCAGTATACGTAATTGGACTTCTTCAAAAACCATAACACAACAACTGCCACCACCCACAATAAAATAATAACACAACTTAATGGAAATTTTTTGACCAGCCCTGTTTATCATTGCACAATATCTGTAGAGCTTGGGTAGAGAGTAGTGAGTTCATTCTTAAACCTTTAGGTTATGGAAGTATTCAGCACCCATTATTTTTAATGAACAAAAGGGAAAATTATAATTTGTATTGCCTTAATTTATGTACCTTCAACATTTGTTCGTGAAAGACTGTATCTGTAACATGTAGCTACTGGTTTTAGACTCATTATCAACCATGAAAATCAGCAAAATTCTAATAAGGGGTCAGGAGAAATGGGCTCAGGTAAACAGGATGAAGTTTAACAAAGACAAATGCAAAGTGCTCCACTTAGGAAGGAAAAATCAGTTTCACACATACAGAA